GATTCACAATCACACGTTTGTGAAGCTTGACGAGTACGAAGGAACATGTGATACAAGGGAGAGACTCTCTGAATCCAGTTTCCAGAATTATTCTGAAGTATTATGCTCTGATCATTCTGTGCAGCTGATAAGTGAGAAAGTGAAAGAGAGAGTTGAGAAGACCCAGCTCCTGAAAGAAAAGCTCCAGAGAATTATAAGAAGAACAGATCTTTGCAGTGAAAATTTAACTGTTACTGAAGTTGAGTCTAAGCTGAGCATAGCTGGTGGAGAACATCAAACGACCTTAGGGCTGGATAACGTGTCTGATAGAACAAAGATAATGCTGCCTGAACATGAGTTTCCAGATGATCTAGACTTCTCCATTAATGTCCTTGTTATCGGGAAAACCGGGGTGGGAAAAAGTGCAACGATTAATTCTATCTTTGGGGAGACTAAGTCTCTTGTTGGTGCATTTGGAGTTACCACAAAGTCTGCAAATTACGTAGTTGGGAATGTAGGAGGAATCCTGATAAGAATACTTGACACGCCAGGTCTCATGTCCTCTGCAACTGAGGAGCGGTTTAATCAGAAAGTCCTCATGTCGATAAAGAAGAGCATGAGAAAGTTCCCAGTTGATGTCATCCTCTATATTGACCGTCTAGATGAGCACCCAGACATCCATTTACTTAGAATCATAACCAATTCTCTGGGCTCATCAGTATGGCGAAACGCCATTGTGGTTTTAACTCATGCAGCTTCCAATATCCCAGATTCTTCAAGCTACAAAGACTTTATTGCTCAGAGATGTTCTCTTATGCATCAATCAATCAGACAAGCAGTTCCAGAGTTAAGTTGTGTAGGCCAGAGCAAGATGCCTGGAATTGTGCTGGCAGAGAACAACATGAGCTCTTTCTCCACAAACAAAAGAAGCGAATCTACATGTCCGGACTGGAGATTGAACTTGCTGATCTTATGTTGTTCAGTTAAGATCCGGTCAAAAGCCGGTTTATTGCAAAAGCAGATTACCGTTGTAGAAAAGGCCGATGTATTTGGCAACCAGCTTCACTCGTTTACTCTATTCTGTTCCTTGTGGAATGTGTTGCTTCTTGGGGCTAACTCAGGACACACTTCTCATTCACATGATGATTTGGATGAGAAGAAAAGGCAGTTACTGGATTCTTACCCTAAAATCATCTGGGACGAACAGAGTCAAGAATGTCTCGAGCAAAGAGAGAGTCAAGAACCAGAAGACCAGGAGAGGCGAGATGAAAAAGGAAAAACAAACAGAGGCTTGGAAGAAGTAACTGTTCGTGGTCGTATGAGAAGAGGAAGACTTGGGTTCCAAGCAACAAAAAGGTTCGGTATCTATCTCGATACATCTGATTTGCACACAGGGTTTTCCATTGGAAGCCGAGGCTGTAGAAAGAACGAACAAGAAGAAGGAAGGATCTTGGTGAGGATGAGAGGCTCTATGTCTGTTCTAGGTTTGGTTCCTATGTTGATTTCCGTTTTCACTTCTGTCTATGGTGGAAAAAATATTTAAAAACTTAAATTGCTCTTGTTGTAGAATTTGTAACATATCAGATGTGTTCTTCGTCTCTTTTTGGATTCTAATGTTGTGACCTGTGAGTAAGTTTTGTTACTGCTTCTATTGATTGTTTTGGTTTCTAGAGAGGATTAGAATCAATCTAATCAAATGGTGGCTAGGAAGGTCTCTCACATGGAGGTAAGATACTTATATAAGTCTTTTGGTTGTGATCTAATAAATATATAAATCATGTGTTTCGTTTCTCTTGTAAAATCATGATAGTGTTCAACAACCTTCGTAATTTATATATTGAAGGTATTCCAAATCTACAAACTTCAGTCATCAATGTATCAATCGGCTTAGGATTAACCATCAATGGATTCAGGGTTTATTCCATTGGTCTGTCTTTAATCATCAAGAAGAACAAAAATAAACCAAATTTTAAATTGATTACAAATGAAGATACTTTTAAATTGTATTAAAAAAAAATTTGCATTGTGTGAACTTAATTAAAGAGCCGTGAAATATTGGGTTCGTCTTGACTGAGTATAGAGCCGTGCCTTTGTATATTGAAATGAAACATCGGCCTACGGCTCATATTTTCGTAAGAAACTCAAAGACATATTTTTGTAATATGAAGTAGCTTCCTTTTGACTATCATTTGTTTCATGTAGTTTAGATTGGTAATTCAATTTTAAAAAAATTGTGTTCTAATTTTTATTTATTTTTTAGAGTAATATTGTCTAGGATCTGGGCATTAGTGGGGAGGACTTTGCAAGCAAATGTAATCGTCTGTTTTGTCGGCGTCGCCTCTGCTTTCCATAAACTTAGTGCTTCAGCATCAACATGTTGTCTGCTAGTTCCACGTCTAGTATCACTGTTCTTATATTAGGGGTCAAACGAATATTTGACATAACAAATAAAAAAATCAATCAATACTAAGAAGAACAAAAATTACGAAGGAGAAATAGAGTTTTAACTAATGTGCGAGTAAAAAATAAAATAATTTTTTCAAATATATTAGATTGTGGAAAAAATTATATCCATTAACTTGTTTTATACTTTCCTAGGTTGAAAAAAAAAAAATCATCCTAAACCACGGATCATAAGCTTGAAATTCTAACTATCACCTAACAAGTGCCGATTTGATCTCTGTAAGGACAATTGTTACTCTGCCACACACCACAAGGAGGAATAACCATAACTTAGAAGTTCTCGTCATTGCAACCACTAGATTTCACCAGGCTTTTCTAACATCAGTCACCTTGGTGGTTAAGGTAACTTACAAACCATACAAATGATATTTTGAATTGATGATTTCTGGACCTTTGACATCCATAGTTAAAAACGATAATTACCTAAAAGATTATGTTTCTTTCTTGATTTTATATTCTATATATTTTTTTTGTTGGTTGAGATATAACAAAAACGAAATTAAAAAACATATACAAACTTTGTTTTTTTTTTGCACTTCACGTTTCAAATAATTATATTAACTTTGTTGTTTCCAATATTTTTAATAATTAAATTAATTATACTTTCTTCAAAAAATATATACCTACTTGGTTCTTTTCCAAGTTTCAGATAATCATATAAACTTTATATCTTTTTCTACATTTCAAATACCTCTATAGCAACTTATTTTTTGTTCTTCATGTTTATAATAATCATACAAACTTTGTTTTCTCTCTACTTCAAAGAATTATATTTTTAATAAGAATCATATCAAAAAAAAATTTCTTTCTCAACTCTTTAAATAATTATATCAACTTTGATTTTTTCTCTTGATATCAAATAATTATAATTTAAAACCAATTTTGTTGTTTTTTTCTCTTCATATCAAATAAGTATACTTTCAAACCAATTTTGTTGTTTTTTTTCTATCCACGTTTCAAATAATTACACCAGCTTTGTTTGTTTTTTATCCATTTTAATAATTACATCTTCAAAAAAAAAAAATTGTTATTCATGTTTCAATTAACTATACAACCTTTGTTTTTTCCCTCCATTTTAGATCATTATACCCTCAATATAGAAATTTCATAACTTTGTTTTTTGCTCTTCATGTTTCGAATATTAATATCAACTTAGTTTTTCCTCTTCATTTCAAATAATCTCTTATATATTAATTGAAAAACAATCTTAAAATAACATTACTCTCACATGTTATGAACAAAAATAACATGCTTATGTGTCGTTCTTAGAGATTTTAAACCCATTTAAACAATTGCTCAATTTTTACTATAATATTTATACATTTTGTCATTAGTCTTATGTATGCATATCTCACACAAATAAAAAAAAATCCAATTAAAAATAATAATAATTAAGCAATTAATCTTTCCAAACTAAATATACGACAACTTTACATTATAAACATATGAAGTCTATCAAATGCATTAATCTGTACTATATTAATATAAACGCACACATTGTAATTATTCATAATTTTATGTCGACATTACAATATAATTACAATAGTAAGAAACATATCTTCACTAATTACAATGCAAATTGCAGCATTTAACATTTCCCTATTAATAATAACAATATTTATAATTATAATTATATTTATTTCTATTTATATTTATATTCAGTGAAAAATAATTTCTTAATCAACTTCAAAAAATTTTGGTCTAAGACGCGTTACGCATTTTCATAAACTCTTCAAAAAGATGTATATGATTGTTTGTTATTTAGTTAGAAAAAACTTTATCGTTTACAATCATTTTACTGATAAAACAAATTCCAATACGAAAAATTGATGATTCGAACAGAATAAAAAAAATATATTCCATGTTTTGTAGCACATACAGATCTAAGATTTTAGATAATAATATAATAAATTTTGTAACTAAAACTACAATGCATTTACTGAATAATCATTTCTACAATATGTGCTGGTAAATTACCTAGTTTTACTTTTAAAAAGTAATACACAGATTTTGTTTTATATTCCCTCTATTTCAAATAATTACACTTTCAATAAAGAATATACATTTTTTTTTCATTCGCTCCATGTTTAAATAATTATAGTATTATACCAACTTTGTGTTTTCTCTCCATTTCAAATAATTATAATTTTAACAAATGAATGTACATTTTTTGTAAACATTAAGCACATAATCAGATCAAAGGTAGTTTGAGAATTTACTGCTCAAAAGAAGCAACCAAGTTTTAATATGTACAATTATAAAAAAAAAAATCACTATTGTAAAAAGAAAAACTCACAAGAGATGAAGATGACCTTTTGTTGCCATTGCAAATATATAGCTTGAATTTCTTTGTAATCTAGTTCACATTTTTAATAAAAACACAATTTTATCTCTCTCTTTTTTTGTCTCAATTATTTTTAATTAAATTCGAACTAAATGTTTTATCAACTATAGCTTTTGACAAGTGATGTTTGAACATTTTGTGTTTCCGACAGATTTCTAGAATTTTGATTTAAAATCGGTTGAATTAAACGTTATTGGATCATCAATAGATCACTAGATCTAGATCTCAAATACCAAACGTTCATATAAATTTGAAATTTGAATACACACACATTCACACATGATCCCACCCAATCAAATCATAACGATAGAGATACTAAAGTAAAGAGGGGCATTTTGGACATTTTACACCTAAAAGGTTGGGGTTAACAGTAATAACACTTCTCTTCCCGTTTTATACACACACATCGCTCGCTCCTCTCCGTCGTCGTCTCATCGCTTTTTCGCTGAAATCAAAATTTTCTCCAGTTTTCCGATCAGACGAAGGAAACCCTAAAAATGGTATATATCTGCTTCTTCATATCAGTGCGCGTCTTTCGATTTTGTGTATTCGTTCACGAAACCTAGGCTCGTTATTTGGATTTGTCGATTGAATTTTATACTCGGATGATTCATCGTCGGATTAGGTTTTTTTCGGTTTATGGAACCTCGCATGATTTTTTCGATTCTTCGTCTGTTATTGTAGATTGATTATCGAAATGTTGAGTTTTATTGTGAAATCTAGACGATTTTTGAGCTTTTTTGGCTGGGTTACAATTGGATTTTGCATTTGCTCGATCTAGTATCGTGAATCATGAACGAGGTTCAGGATCTGATGGGAGATTCAGTATAAGTATTCTTTGTTGTTGTAGTCTTGCTTAGGAATTGCCATTTGTGAGTGATGTTGGTACTAAGCAATTTCAGATAGAAATGAAGCTTCATCTTCTTGGCTTGATCTTTGTAATGGAGTTATGTTCACTGTGTCTTTTAGTTTCTTCTTACAGCTTTTTCTTTTTGGTGACAGGATGGTCATGATTCTGAGGATACTAAGCAGAGCACTGCTGATATGACTGCTTTTGTGAGTATCCATTTCTAAATAGAAATTATTCCTTCTCTTTTGTTTGGTATGTTTCTGATTTTGATACAATATCACTGAATCCTTGAATTCTTTATATGCAGGTCCAAAATCTTCTCCAACAGATGGTAGTTTTTTTTGGCTTTTATGTCTTCTTAGGCCTTGGAATTGTTACTTCAATAGGTAGATTCTGATTAAATGTGGTCTTATTGTGTGTTTCAGCAAACCAGGTTCCAGACAATGTCGGACTCCATCATCACAAAGAATATCCTTATATCAATCTGTGGTTTTGCTTGATTGTTGCTTGCATTAGAATATTTGACATGTTTAGCTCCCAGAGCAGTAATGATGATCTGTGATAATTGATTCTTTGTGTCTTCAAGTATAAAAATTCAGTACTAGGAATCGACAATTTTCATTAGAATACCACATTGTCCCTTGTTACGTTGCTGTTATATACATACTTGTTCTTCTGGTCTCTATATATTCTATACAAAATCAACTTTATCACCATGAAATGATGCAAATCTGGAATCTGTGGGAACTCTTTGATAACCAATTTTGTGTTCATGACACTGGTTTTGATCTCCTTGACTTTGATTTGATGGTTCACTTGATGACATGGGAGGCAGAATCAATGAGCTGGAGCAAAGCATCAATGATCTAAGAGCCGAGATGGGAGTAGAAGGCACTCCTCCTCCAGCCTCCAAATCAGGCGATGAACCCAAAACACCCGCTAGTTCCACTTAAAAAGGAGGGTGTTTGACAGGTCGGAAGAAAAAAACTATGAAACTTGTTAAGAGCAGTATTACTTTTATATTCGTGTTTTAAGAAACGAGTTTGTTTTATCAAAGTTCATCAAATAGATTGATGATGTGGTGCATTACATTATTCTTCACTTATGAATTGCCTTTCTATTTTGGTTTTGAGGACTGAGAGAAGTCTTATGCTCCTAAAATTCATATTACTGTGTCGATACTTGACGCAACTTATCAGGAAAATAGGCCAACCAAGTTTCCAACTTGACCATTTTTGGTTTGATTCCGGTTTTAATTTGTGAGAGTTGAATTTGTAAAGGATAGTTAGACCGATAGAAATATCTGAATCTCTTATAGTTGGACAGTGTTATGATTGTTTCAAACGCAATTTCTAATTTTCTATGTTCGCATTTGGGTTTACATGAAAAAGTCATTATCGAACTATATTAATAAACAACTGGTGATGAGTTGGTTTATGCTCGTCATGAGGTATGAGTTTGCGGTCCAAAACTTTGGTTTATATTAATTTATTTAAGTTTTATTTCTCGTAGGTTATATAGAATTATATGCTTTCATGTAAATTTGACAAGCCTTTGAGGGGCCGAGGAGCGAATAAGGACCGTTAGATGATATGCCTTACATTAAAGTGTATCTACGATATTTAATGCTTTGTTATTTTTTTTTTACTTTTTTCCTCCAAATCAGCCTCCCTCTAATTATGGGAGGAAATTAGTGTTTTCTCTCTTCTATTTTCTTGTTCTCATGTAACGTTTTCTTCTCTTTTGACAATTTTTTTCCTCCAAGTGGCTCCATGACTCGAATTTTTTTGACATATTGCTAATTTAATTTAATTTGTGTTACTTTCTAGTAGAGTATAATAAATAATGAATTGAATTCATAAGAAAAAACGTAATAAATACGCCACGTGTGTATGGTTTCTGGCGAAAAGTATTTACATGTGAAGCTGCCCTTTAGTTGGCCCCAACCAATACCAATTATTGCCTCTTCTCTTATTTTCCACTTCGTCACATTTAATATTATTTCATTATTCAACCAACAAAACAAAAAAAAAAAAGAAAAAAACCAATTTGATTTCTTCCCATCATACAATATTTCTCTTCATAAACAACTACAATTTTAATATCCATATAAATTCCAATATGAACACCTGGTTTTTTCTTCAGCACATGCAAAAAGCACCAATACATATATATATTAATGAATTTCTTATAACCATTACTGATAACAATTGACATATTAATCAGAAATGTATACTACATCTATTATCTATATATATTTCTGTTCTTATATCAATTATATTGCAATGAAACTATAAACACATAAATAAATTACCAGTAAAAATATAAATAATAATCTGAAAAATTGTATAAGATTAAAACAAAAGAATTGAGAGTAAAAATTTTGAAGTACACATAGAGAGAAAGAGAGAGATTATCGCCTGCAACGAGTAATGGCGCTACAACCACGAGAGTAAGGATTAGCCTGAGCTCCACGTCGGCAATTGTAGTAAGATGCGCCGCGTCGTGAGCAAGGAACTGTGTTTCTCCTCAGCGCACCGTAGCTTATGTACTTCGTTGTTGCTAAAATACGCCTGTTGATCTCAGAGTCCATCTCGAACTCCTCCGCCGTTGATAAAGAGCACTCGGCGATGGTACCGTTGCATTTTGAATCGATTTGCATGAAATCACCGGTGAATCCGGTGGATTGAGAGGTTACGGCGGCGAATAAGAAGTGGACGGTGAGGATTGCGATGAGTATCGCACCGGATTTAGTGGAGAGTCCTCTCATTGTTTCTTTCTTCTTTCTCTGAGCTTTTTTTTTTTTGGAGGTTTGAAAGTTTTATTGAAGAAAGAGAAAGAAATGGTTTAAAAGAGAAAGAGTTATTAAAATTACCACTAGGATTTGGAGTATTTACGACTTATGCCACTTGACACTAAAAGGTGTTTAACGCGCTTTAAATTTGGTTTTTGACTTTTAGGATAAGAGATGACAATATATATGACGTATTTATACTTGCATATGCTACCAACTAATGAAAAGAAATACTCCATATAAGGCTCAAATTTGATATTAGTGGGATTGATAAATTTTGAATGAATGAAAAAAGAATATAAGATGAAAAATTCTATCAGAATTAAATTTAAGATGAAAAATTCTATCATAAATTGGTGTGATGTCAAAAAAAAAAAATGGTATATTGTACTTTGTTGTTGGTTCATTGATTGGTCGATTTATTAAAATTTAAAAGCTTCTATGTATTATCTTTAAATTTGGAGAATGCAAATTATGATAGCTCCTATATTAAGATTATGAATAGTAATTAGTAAAAAATCCATTTGTGGTTAGTTAGATCAGTCGTTGATATGGTTAGCTATAATGACACATATTTACTTAAGTGTTTTTTGATCAACGATTTATTCGAAATAAGGTTCGGTTTGTATCCTAGACCAAACCGGTTTGTTCATTGGTTTACGGAAATTTCTGAACCGTTGGTTCTGTGTCAATTCGTCGACATATCAATCTGCTGCAAACCGTTGTGTCATGGTGCATCATTAGAATCAACTAAACCGCGGAACTACATATTAAGCAATACTAGTACAATGTCAAGGACTCAAGGTAGTGGTAATAGTAGTAGTAGCGACAAGATCATAAGAACAAACATTTTCATATCATCTAATGCTCTGCTGCTTTCGCATTGTCATCAGTCGATAGAGCTTCCACTTTCTCTTCTGTCACCTCACTTCTCTTTTCCATTTGCTCTTTTGAATCTTGTAGCTGCAAGGCACAAAACAGATAATCATGGAGGAACCATAGATTAGTTCCTGCAATTCTAAAAGCCGGTCTTTTCTTCGGGTTACACATTTTTTTATCTATTGAAAATACTATTAGGAAGAAGAGAGTATCACGAGACTCACGCCTAAGCTTTTGAGGCTAGCAGAAACATCATCTTGCTGCTGATTTAAGGTGGTTTTCAGATCTTTGAATTCCTAGTTTTTTATGGAAACTAAATGAATCAAACATGTTTCATGAATATAAACCGGTAAGATATCTAGTGCCTGCTGGCTCAACATACATACAAACCTCACGAAGCTGCTCAACTTCAAGATTCAGAGTCTTCTTTAGCCCAGAGAGCTCCTGTAAAACACCGAGGAAGAGTTTATATATCAAATGTCAAAACAGTTCAAAACTGATCCCGGCTAAGGAAAGCAATTCTCTTTGGGAGTAAAGTTTGGATAAAGAGGACTAGAAATGGAACACACCTCACGGTAGACTTTAACTTGTGTGTCCAATTTACCTCTCCAACTTTGCAAGTCCTGCGACGATAAGTTATAAGATTGTTTTAAAAAAGAAAACAGATGTCTAACTAAAACAACATGACAAAGTCAGAGATGAGAGTAGAGTGTTAAAACCTGTTTCAGATTCTGGATCCTGTTTAGCAACTCAGCTCTCGATTCATTCAATTCCTACAAAAAAAAACGAAATCAAGACTTGAGAAAACCGCTTGCTCAGAAGATTTGACTAAAAATACTAGTAGTAAACGTACCGTGAGCTTCGAATCAACAGGATTGGTATTATCTTTCTTCTGCAGCAGAAGAAACAAGCAAGATCAACATCAATTTCGGTTAACCACATTGAAGGGATACAAACTATAAGCTTTCCAAAACAAAAGTATAAGCCTGACATTGAAGACAAATCATACTCTTTAGACCAATGAGAACAGTTGTTAATTTATGTCGACAATCAAAGAAAAACAATTCCAAAGAACAAAACCACAAAGCCATCAATCAAAACCACCAGAAATATCACCACATATGGGACTGGAGAATCATTCCAACAAAATCTAAAAAGATACACAGTGATAGCCCAAGATCCAACAAATGTAAAAAAGCTTTGCAAATGAATCAACTCAACACACTATGAAATCTGAAACTGTGAAATCGGTGGAACTCCAAAAAATCAACCAAAACATAACAAAAGTGAAGTTTCAGACAAAAATCGGAAGAAGCGAGACCTTCTTCTATACCACTTCAATTTGAATCGAGAAGGATTTGCAGACAAAACACGGATCTAAGGTCCGAAATGCGATTTTTAGTTCCAAACCCTAGATTAATGTTTCTAAAATCAAAAACGAATAGCCGCAAAATCCCAATTTGAACCTAAAACTCAGAAACCCAGAGCCCTAAAACTACGCGTCCATGAAGCGTAAGTTAAAGCGATTAGAGAGCAAATGAGATATTACAGGAGCAGTAGGGGAAGAGACGGAGAGAGGAGCTGTTGAATCGGAGGTTTGCTCCGCCATTATCGATCGAAACTGGGGAATTTCTCTGGGCTTGAAAGCAAAGAGACAATAGAGTTTAGACGCTTGAGGAAGAAGAAGAAAGTGGTATGAAGAAGGAAGAAGAGAGATTTGTATAAAGTGAGAAACAAACAAACATGAGAGAATAATTAGTGATGTCGTTGCGACTTGCGAGCCAGACTCAAATTTTCAAAATACCAAAAATAATTATTAAAATACAGCACCAAAATTTGATGGCAAAAAAAAAAATACAGCACCAAAATTCAAAAATTATTTGTCATGAATTAAACAAAAAAAATGCAAAATTATTATTTTATGTGTCATAGGGTTGTTAATTCCCATGACGCGGTCTTCTTCACCTGATTTTTAAATATAACCACCGATTAATTTGCACCTTGAACTTTGATTATATGTTTGCCATCTCCATTTCCATAGAACTTTTCCTTCAAATTCTTTCTTGGTTAGAAATATATTTATAAATCCAATTACAAAGAAGATGCTCAATTTTCACCGCTTTGCAATTTTGTGTGAAAGTCTACACGGGACTAGAAGATGTAACAAGTTGCATTTCGATGAGATCTGAGGTTTTGGTTTATGTCTTAAAATCACAAGTTAAGGTGACTATCTTTAAATCGTTTGTAAGAGTGGGATTGAGAGTTGCATGTTTCCCGATTTTCATATTTTGTCGTTACCATATCTCTTTTCACACATTATCAAACTTTGATGAATTTATGTTTCTCTATCATTTCATCACTTTGTATGCTCTTATGCTCTTAGCCAATTTGTTCAGTGTCTTACATATCCATTATGTTTGATGATGCCTATCTTAGTTGTACGATTAAACATGCGTTTTGAGTTTAATCGGTTCAACTTGTTCTTAATGATTAGTATTTGTTCTAAAATATGTATTTTTGCAAAAAAAAAAAAAATAGAAAATTAAAACTTTTTAAATAATCAATATGGCAAAAATACCTCTTAAAAAAATGTAAAATCTGTAATAATTCATTGTTTATATGCCTAACCATTTAATGTTGACTAGTTGATAAGGACTCGAGAGTTGAGACTTGGGAGGGTGTATGTAGGCGCCCAGAATTTAAGATGTGTCTTCGCTTTTCTGAAATTCTTTTTGAATTTTGTTTTTCTTTGTTAGTTGGCCACTATTGTTTTATAAGAAAAACACGAATTGAGTAAAAATGTCATAAAACGAATTTTTACTGAGTAAAGTTTTAGTGAGTTTAAACTTTAAAGAGTTTTTACTTACCAAAAAAAAAAAACTTTAAAGAGTTTAAAGTGTCACGGGCAAACAGCAAACTACTTGTTCCTTTGCAGCAAAGGTAAAGAAAGAATAAAAAGAGACTCTCTCTCTCTCTCTCTCTCTCTCTCTCTCTCTCTCTCTCTCTCTCTCTCTGTGTGTGCCTGAGCCAACTCGGTCTATACTCGGTGGCGACTCAAATGGGTCAAGAATCGTTTATCTACAGCTTCGTCGCCAGAGGCACTATGATCCTCGCCGAGTATACCGAATTCACCGGCAATTTCCCGTCTATTGCTGCTCAGTGTCTCCAGAAGCTTCCTTCCTCCAGCAACAGCAAGTTCACTTACAACTGCGATCACCATACCTTCAATTTCCTCGTCGAAGATGGCTACGGTTTGTCATTCTTCTCTATCCCTTCTCTCGTTTTTCAATTTTTCTCGTGAAACGAATGAAGCCAGTAAGGTTTTGATGGATCTAGCTCAGGATTAGCTGATATGCATCATCTTAATAAGGATCTTTGTAGATTGGATTTGCGTTGGTTCCTGAGAGATTTGTGCTTAAATTTGATTAACTCTTTACTAATTTAGTTTGGTTCCCACTTGTAATATACCAATTAAGCGCACATATCCAATCAAAAAAGAAAATTCTGAGTAGAGTTTGTATCAACAAATTAAGTAAAGTGTTGTCTACTCATGAATCTTGATAGGTTTCTGTGGACTTTGTTCTCTTTCAAGATTCAATTAGTAACAGAACATCTACTAATTCTTTGAGTGTTTGGTAGTTTTTATGTTCAATTTATTAGTATTTCTCGAGTATGATTACGCGTCCTATTTTCGGAGATACCTTTACGTGATGTGGATTGGAGATGTTTGTGTCTGTCTTTCTGTAGGAACCTGTTATGGTTTCAGAGATGTGTGTTTTAAAATAACTTGGAATATTATGTCACTGAAATCTAATATATCATGTGGATTTGTATGCTTGAGGCAGGATTTGACTATATGGGTTCCACTATTAAAAAGATTCCATCTTTGGCATGCATTTGACTGGATTTGACTGAATAATGTTGCTCCCTGAATTGTATCTCCCTATTTAGTACTATATATATGTTTGAAGGTTCTTAGACAGTGGTTTAGCATATTACTATTCAAGTACATTCTACTTGTTGTTACTTCTGTCTTGTTAAACATAGATAAATCATTTGCTTTTATGTGCGGTGCCCTTTGATATCTATAAGACATTGAAACTGAGAAATGCTTTGTGTTGTTTTGCAATGTTATGAGGAGACCTAGTTCTTCATATATGATGTTCTTCTGAGCATTCTTGACCTTATTGGTGCATTTCACTTATATAACGCTCTTCAAATTGCGTTTTCAGCATATTGTGTTGTGGCGAAAGATTCTCTTAGCAAGCAAATCTCGATCGCATTTCTGGAGCGTGTAAGGGCTGATTTCAAGAAGAGATATGGAGGTGGAAAAGCAAGTACAGCTATCGCCAAAAGTCTAAACAAGGAATTCGGGTACTTCAATTTGAAATTTGATGCTATAGTGAATACAAGTGAGAGATTTTATCCCTTGACAAAATGGTAACATATAAAATTGCAGGCCGGTGATGAAGGAACACATGAATTATATTGTAGACCATGCAGAGGAAATTGAAAAACTAATAAAAGTCAAGGCTCAAGTTTCAGAAGTTAAAAGTATAATGTTGGAGAATATTGACAAGGTAATGCTCATCATTGACTCTCTTATGTCTTTCTGGACACTTAGACAAGCAACAAATCATTCTCTTTTGCTTTACTTCTTACATGATGGGTCTGCAAAAAGGAAGTTACGTATTTCACAGTGTCCCCTTAAAGAGGAGACAGATTACTGTGCATTTGTGCTTATACTCTCCAATATTGTTGATCCTTTCTCAGGCGATCGACAGAGGGGAAAATCTAACGGTTCTTACTGACAAAACCGAGAATCTACGCTCTCAGGTAAATAAATGCATAGTTGACCTTTTATAGCTAATCTTCTCTGACATAGCATAACGTTTAACATACGTTTATTTGAACCTATAAAGGCACAGGAGTACAAGAAACAAGGGACACAGGTGAGGAGGAAATTGTGGTACCAGAACATGAAGATAAAACTTGTGGTTCTCGGGATCTTGCTACTATTTGTTCTCATAATCTGGATATCAGTTTGTCACGGGTTCAATTGCACGGATTGAAGATGCAACAAATTCTTCTACGTGATGGTTAGAGCCTTTGGCGGAGACGGTGACAGAGACAAAAGTCTCCGGTAGAGAGATTAGGAAAGAGAGAGGGGAAACAAAATGGTACCGTACCATATTTATATTGTAAGGTTTTGACTTTGGATGTTGTATTATATAGTGTGTTTGTGTTATTTCTTTGGGTTTACCTTACTACAGTATTAGCATGGTTTATGTTGCATAATTAAAGATGAGGATATCGTAAACTTGCATAAAGCATATGCTCCATGTACTCAAATTAAAATAAGAATTTGAGGTCAAATTTTGGATTAAGAAAAAAACAAAGCGCCCACCGTGGGGCTCGAACCCACGACCACAAGGTTAAGAGCCTTGCGCTCTACCAACTGAGCTAGACGGGCATTGTAAACAATAACACCATAGAAAACATATAACCTATAAAAATTGTTTCTAAACATATTAACACATCTTTGCATCCTAAGTGATCATATTCAAAGAAAAGTTATGCAACCTGTCTCAGTAAGCCCAGTAATACTTATTAGTTATTATATAAGTGAAAAGTTTCAAACTTGTGAACATTTCGAAGCTTTTGGGCCATAAAATCAAAGCAAGCAATCTGTTTCCATACACAAATCTGAATCATCAGCTTCCACATTTGATTATTCACATATATTTGTAAAATTTTAGCTTCTCAAAAACTGAGACTTTCCATAGATCTAGCACCATGTTCCACAAAATTTGTAACACCGACATACCTTAAAAACTCAACAGCAACAGATAGTTCTATGTGAGACTAGTTAAGTAAAAGTTTCAAGCTTGATGAACAATTTCAATCTTTTGGACTATAAAATCAAAGAAATATCAGTAAAATCAATTTGTCTCCAATACAAATCTTAATCATCAGGTTACAGATTTGAAAATTCATATATGTATGTAAAAATCTTAGCTTTTACATACTCAAGAGTCTCACAAAACACCTCAAAACAGATTCATAAAAATCGAGACTTTCATAGATCCAGTACCAAGTTCCACAAAACTTGTAACAGCTACATACTTTAAAACTCAAAACAACAAGCAGAAACAAACTAAGACCCAACAAAGACAAAACCTTTAAGCTTTCAAAGATCATCTTCATCCCTCAAATACTCTCCAATATCAGCCTGATGAAGCACAACGATACCATTAGGATCCAATTTCCTACAATCCTGAGTACTCTTCGCCGCAATCCCAAACCCTAACGGAACATCAGACATCGAGAAGACAACAACACCATCTCCAGGAACAATACTATCAGTAATCCTCCCTAATCCACCTTTCAAGACATGGTTCCCATAAAGAAACGACATCTCCGAAGTGGGTTTAAGCCATACCTTGTGTTTAGCATTCGCCGCCAAGATATTGAGAGACATAATCGTCAGATGGAAACTACCTGCGTGAGTGTATTTCCCGATGCAGGTTCCGAACGAGACTAGGTTTTTTCTGGAGATGTTTGTAGCTCGCTTCACGAGTGCCTCGCTGACGTAGTAGACTCTGTTTTTCTGGAGGCGGAAGCAGTAACTTCCGGGTGTTGATTCGGGTCCTTCGTCTGATGGGTTCTCGACGATCTTCTTGAGGTTGTTGCCGACGAATTTGAAGAGCTTCTCGAAGACGACAGTCGTCTCTGTCTCGTCTAAAGGACGCATCTTTGGGGAAGAAAGTGATGAATTTTGGAAGAAGAGAAGTTCTTTGTTTCTAAGAGGGATTGTGTTTTTTTTTAGGGTTTTAGGGATTTAGTACCAAACCTAATGCGGCCGATGAGTTTTGTTTTTTCCCATTTGGTCCTTTGTATAAATATATATTATTATTCCAACCCCTAAATTATTATTTTTTGTTAAATCCAACCCATGAAATTATAAGTTTCCATTTTGAATATTTGGAGGATAACTTAAAGTAACTAATAAACCAATGAATGGTCTTTTCCATTAAGGTTGTGACTGGTGGAAGAAAACAAGTTGACATTTTTATTTAATACTTTTTTTGCTTTTACACAAAATTATTTTTTATATGACAATGAAATTAAAAACAACTAAAGTAGGGGGTTGTTACAAAAACCTTTTTTTCTAATACCAACAAAATGCTTTACTTTTGCACAAATATATTTTTCATATTCACAATGAAATTTATAGAAAACTCTAATGGAACTCTCTCATGAATTTGGAGAAGAAGAACAAGAGAAGTCTCTCTTTCTAAGAGGCACTGTATTCATTTTAGGGATTTAGTAACAAAACCTAATGTGACCAATAAGTTTTTGTAATTTCTAATTTGGTATTTTTCTTTAAAATATATTATGTAGGGCCTTAAATATCTGGGCTTTTAGAAACAAACTAATTATCTTTAATACTAATATTTTATTTGATAAAAAATTTAAAACATGAGTTAGAAAAACAGAAATACGCTACAATTTCTTCTTCTTTGAACTTGGTTACATGTTCTTCTCCATGTATGTGAGTCACTTTACTTTTTTTACAATTGAAATCATAGATTTTGAGGTTAATTGTTCGTTTTGCTTTGGAATTTACTGTCTTTTCCTTTTGTTTTTCGCGAATTGATTCTTAAAAAAACTGCAAATTTGATTATAGTTTTTTGTAGTTTATGAAAAAGGCAATTTTTTAAGCCGTACATAAGATCTAGCAAACATGAAACCGACACTTGCAATATCTCAGATCAATGACGTACCTAATAAGAAGGTTTTTAGGGCCCTAAAGTATCTTAAAAATGTGGCCCTAAATTTTTTTTTATATATTTTGTGGCCTAAAGCACGTGTTTTGCCTGCTTTATGGATGGGCCGGGTCTGACTACTGTCTCTCTGTCGGTGTTAATGCAACTCTGGCGCTAAGTTCTCTGCTTTAGTGGCTCTGTATCGCAGATATAGAAGCTGTAGAGACCTTGCAAAGAATAGGACTCCGAGTATTGTTTCTAGGACCATTGAAAACGTGTAGATTTCGCCATCCGAGTATGATCTGACGACATTTTATCTAGGTAATTATCCTTAGATTTTCGTGAGATTTATAAGAAGATAAGTTAGTAGGCAAATATTTTTAGGTATCCATGAAGTATCTCGACAAATGAAATTTATAGGAGAAGTCCGAGGAATTGGTTAGTTGGATATTGCTATCTGGTTTATGTTCAAATGTCATAATAGATGTTTTTAGTTGAACCACCTTGGAATCTCATCCGCTGGTCATTAGCCCTTTCCACTCCCTCTTTGTAGAATTGTTTGTTACCTTCTTGTCTTAAAGATAAAATAGATCAAACATTGTTTCAAACTTCCAGTTTTATAAGAGAAGAATTTGAGCAACCTACAATCTATTAATTACGATATTTGTAGTAAATATAAAATGAACCCTAACCAAAGGTCCTTTAAATGTATGAGAAATAGGAAAATAGAGAGACTAACCTGATGAATCTCACCGGAGAGTCTATATCTCTCTCCTCTACATCAAAGTTCTGTTCATCACGGGCGAATCCTTTTATCCGATGTTATAATGTCCGTAAAGTTGTAATAGGCCTGGGCTTTCTGTTAACCGTTCGGTTATCGGTTGGGTCCATTCGGTTTCGCTTCTTTCGGTTTCAAAATTTAGTATCCATTCGGATATTTTAAAATTTCGGTTCGGTTTCGGTTTGGTTCCGGTTTTTTCTGTTTTAAAATTTAGTATCCATTCGGTTATTTTGCTTATGATATTTTCGGATATTTCGGTTATTTTTGAGTATTTTCGAATATTTTTGGATATATTTTGGTTATTGTTGAGTATTTTAACTATCTTTACATATTTTTCAAGTATTTTTGATTATTTGGTCTATAAATAACTAATTATTTTGAAAATATAATGGTATTTCGGATATTTCGGTTACCCAAAATATTTCGGTTCGATACCGATTCGGTTACGGTTATTTTGGTTATTAAATTTACTATTCATTCGGTTATTTTCAACTTTTCGTTTCGGTTCGGTTTTTTGCTTCGGTTTCGATTCGGTACATTCGGTTTTTTATTTTAAAGCAATATATATGACCTTTTTTTAATTCCCAAAATAATACCTTGGTTAATAATGTTATTTAATACACCATTTTAAAAATGTTGTAAGTTTTATAAATCAAGTTAGAGAATAATTAATATTACTTATTTTCTTAGGTGAAACATCTGAATGGACTTTCTCATGAATTAAGGTTGTGACCGGTGGAAGTAAACAAGTTAGATTCACTCTCTACATCTTCCATCCTAAAAGAAAGTATTTGCATCGATACAATAAAAACAATAAGAATCTCTCCAAGACCTGACACCTTAGTTTTTTGGGATGTTCTCAGCTTGAAACCTCATAAAAATCGATACCCAATCAAAACATTTAAAATAATACAGCTCAATTTCATCTTCCATTAATATTTTTCTATTTTTCCACGTCACTCTTTCTCAATCACCAGAACAATTAAAGTTTTTTCTCTGTTAGCAGATCAAACATAAAAATAAACATATGCCTAGCCCAACCAAAATAAACACGCGTGTAAAAGCCCTCAGACACTTTATTGGATCCAAAAACCACCGTAAACCGCCGTAAAAATCACCAACGGATAAGAATGATGCGGAGGTGGCGGAGGAAGAAGCTGCCGAGGTTGAAGTCGATTGAAGAGGTTGTGACTACATTGCAGCAAGCTTCACAGTATCCATTAGATCGAATAGATTTGTCAGCTCGTAAACTGAAATTGCTCCCTGAAGAATTTGAAAACATTCAAGGTCTCCTTGTCCTTAATCTCTATAACAATCAGTTGAGGTTCGTTCTAAATCCAAAAAACAATAATACATAATCAATTGTGTTAGTGTTCTGATATGTAATGTCTCAAAGATGTAAAATTTTGATCTGGATTTGAATCTTTAGGCTAAATTCTTTGGGTTTTGGATATGTTCTTTAAGAAGCAAATCCGTTATTGTGGTGATGTCTAGATTGAGATAGATTTTAAAGTATGTGTTGCTTTGTCTTGATTAAAGGTTATGTTTGGTTTGGTTTGGTTTGGTTTGTTTGTTTTTTCAATTTTCAGCTTCAATTGGGTGTGGGAAAGATTTATACATTGATGGTGTCAAAGAAGAACGAATAATCAATTTTTCTAGCTGCCAAAATCTTGGTTTAACTTCTGCTATTATAGGTTATAGGTTTTGGGTTGATTGAGAAAAAACGAGGCAAAGGAAAAATTTAATAGCAATTCTCCACATGTCTCCTTGGATGGTTAGTTTTATCTTCTGTATTAGATGAAATAATATCTTTTTTCCCAGTGCAGTGCATCTAAGATTATTACTTTTTCTTCCCATAGGCACTGCTGGTGGCATTAAGGAATTATAATCTCTCAATTCAGAACTTACGATACATGGCTTAAGCACCTCTGGAGAAAAGGTCAAGCTCTTGCTTTTCCTTCTTGGCATGAATCATCTCACATATGTTTGGCCATCCTCAACAGTAGAACAGTTACCTGAAATGGGGCGAGTGATATAGAATTCTAAGAGTTTTTGTTATTCCCGAAATTGGGAATATGAAGAACCGTATGTGCCGCATCCTTCCATTGCCAAGACGTCTAATCATTGTACAATAGAAATGACTGATTTGATACCTTCATTCCTTAGTCAAGTCGACGTCTATGTGTTACAAGAATTACCTGAAGAGTTGGGAGCATTGGAGCATTTCCTACCCACATGGGACAACAGTCATCATCAGATGTTCCCAAGAAACGAGATGAGGAGTCGATAGATATAAAGGGCACTAAGAATGAGACTGGATTCTCATGTAGCTCTCTCTGGTTTGGGAATCCTCCTATTTGGACATCGAAGTTCAAACTTTGGGGCAATTGTACTACAAGGAACAAGGATTCATCTTAGTTATCCTTCCAGATTAACTTGTCTTTAAACAAAAGTATATTTTTTTAAGGATCAAGGATTTACAAAATTCATTTAAAAAAAAACTCAATTTAGAATAAACGAAAAGTGTTTAAGCTACTGAGATTTTCTACTCAAGAAGGGTATGTATCAAATTAGTAAGCTGTTATACAAGATATATATTTGAGGTGAAATACCAAGTTCAAGAGGAATCAATTCAATGGAATATTGGTACAGAAGTGTGGCAAAAAAGTTTGGTTCGTGAATATAAAACATTTGCCTTCCTAACAGAAGTAAAAACAACAAAAAAGAATCTCACAAGAACTGATCAAGATTGTATATCTTATGGTAGACATCTTTCTTTTTATTTTCTCTGGCTATCTCTCTTTATCTTAAGTTGTTATTTAGAGCGAATGACAAAGAAAAACGAGAAGTTGTACTAAAAAGCTACATCTATAGCGATAAACAATGATAAGAATCCGTGAGGGTAACAACAATTCAAGTGAACCATTCTACATTTTTTAGTCAGCTATTATTTGAAAGTTTATTTTATAGTTACCTTTCTCAACATCTTTTAATAACGCTTACTTATATACACAAGATTACAACATTGGAAATTAAGTCAACCCAATGTAGATCCAAACATGACTTCAAACAAATATAAACAAAAAATAAATGTCATGAAAAAAGTCTGCAACGTAAAGAAGGATGAGACTATCTCAAGATTAAAGGCTAAGATCGCTGAAATGGAGATGAATTCTATTAAGAAAGATGATGAAATCTCAAAACTTTCACTTGTTATTACAGTGTGTTACAAAAAACTAAAACAAATTTTTCAAAAATGCTAGGTACACATGTGTTTGATTTAATAAAGTTTTCAAACAATAGTGATTACAAATTATGTTTCTACTAAAAAAAATTTATTTAAAAGAATACCTGCAGCGTAGCGCGGGTTTCGTTATAGTACATCCTAAATATTCAAGCATAGCATCTTTTCATTTCGCCTTTTATAAATTCCACCACTCTCAACCTTTATTTTCTTATACAATATGCAATCACATTTTTTTATTTTAATTACTAAGAAATTCTAGGCCTAGGTCTGTACATTCTCTCAAGATAAAGACAAGAACATTTTATATGGTCCTTCCCAAGTGTCACTTGAACCGGTGATTTCTACGTTTTGTTTGAGAGTCTTTAACAATTGACATGTAATATTAGTTTCGTCTCAAGTGTTGGGGTCGGATCCCACACATCTTCGGTAGGATCCACTTGGATCTGTCCACGTCATTATTACATAATAATCCTCTTGGATTTCTAGATGTTTCATTGCGAGAATCGAGCTCGACCTGTCGAAAGTTCGATTCAGTTTATTAAAGAGCTCGATCTTTACCAGTACGGAGTTCGCTCTTATTCAACATACAGTTCGCATAAAGGAAGGCCGAAGCGAGGAGAATATTGTTCGAGGTTCGCGGCAGCGTCAAGACGCAGGAGTTCGGAGTCAACAAGAAAGAGTTCGGAAGATCCACGCGAAGCCCAAGATAGTTCAAATTCAAGCCGTTTCGGTCAAATTGTAACCTACATGATTAATGCGGATCAATGCAGTTATGAGCAGTAAATGACCGCATTGATCATGTTTTCTCTATAAAAACAACCTCAAACGCATGTGTTTGAAGGAGAACAACTTTTTCCTCTTACAATCAAGCAATACAACATACTTTTTCTTTTACAATTTTGCAAGGCTTTTTAGTATTTTATTCTTTCCAAAGTTCATTCGCTTTACTTAGTTTCTTGGTTACTTCCCTTTTCAATTCCATATTTTCATCTGTTGATTTTAGAGTTTTTCTCCACAAATATACTTAAAGACAATCGAGTGTGAATCCTACATCCACATTTTGGCGCCGCCTGTGGGGACTTACCGCAAAACTCTTTGATCTCAAAATCTCTCTTTTTCAAACCAAGAAACTATGGCTGATCAGCAAGCTTTGAGCAATGCAATTGCCTCGCTTACTCAGTCAACCACCGATCTGACCAATCAGATGAGTACACTCGCTAGTGCCAACGCCACTTTTGGTGAAAGGTTAAACTCAATCGAGCAAACTTTAACGAGTGTTCAAAATACTCAAACAAATTTATCAAACGCACAGAACGTTGTTTCAAGCCGTTTAGATAATTTGTCCTCAGCACAAACGACAGCGTATCAGCGCAGGCTGTTCCAAACTCCCACATTAAACAGGTCCGGGAACACTCAAACTCCTCCTACGGGCCGTCCTGCTAGTACTAGCAATCAGACAACCGTAGGAGATGGGTCCAATCCAACCGGGGATGAAAATTCCCAAAATCAGGGCAATCCTACTATTGACGAAGGACTCCTTATGGAAGAACCTGATGTCATCCTTTCCGATGATTTCGTCAAAGTTCGTCAAGAGCTTGATGAGATGAAGTCAAAGTTTCATCAGGCGACCAGTTCGGCACCTGAGATCGATCGAGTAATCGAAGAAACTCGACGAACACCCTTCACTTCGAGAATCTCTAACCTTCGGATCAAAGATTCTCGAAAGATCAAATTACCAACTTACGATGGTAAAGGTGATCCTAAAAATCACCTCGCAGCTTTTCAGATCGCTGCTGGCAGAATTGATCTAGAACCAGACGAAGAAGATGCCGGATATTGCAAACTATTCTCTGAGAATCTATCCGGATCGGCTTTATGATGGTTTACTCAGTTGGAGCCTGAATCTATTGATAGTTTTAAGGAATTGTCCTCCGTATTCCTAAAACAGTATTCCATGTTTATGGAAAAGGTAACCTCTGTTGCAGATCTATGGAATTTAACCCAAAGTCAGAACGAACCACTTCGCAAGTATATCGCTAAATTAAAAGAAGTGATAGCCAAAATTCCTGGGGTATCACACGCTGCTGCCCTTTCTGCTTTAAGGAACGGACTTTGGCATGAATCCCGATTTCCGGAAGAAATCATCGTCAATCGTCCGAGCACTATCCAAGATGCTTTATTCAGAGCTACTAATTAGATGGAGGCAGAAGAAGAAAAGCTTAGCCTCGCTAAAAAGCATCGGCCAGCAAAATTGGTTGTTGGAAATCCGACTAAAAAATTCGAACCAAAAGATCAAAAAGGGTTCGGAGTTAATCCTGCTACTAATGCCGTAGGAAAACCCTCCCCGAACAAAGGAAGATACAATTCTTCTAATACCTGGGTTAGAGATGAGAGTGCCTATTGCGATATTCATAGAGTAAATGGGCATTCCACCAAAGATTGCAGCGTACTCAAAAAGCACCTCACCGAGCTGTGGGCAGCTGGAGAGCTCGCTAACTTCAATATCGAAGAGTTTGTGGAATCTTATCATAAAGAAAAAGAAACATAAGCCCAATGGGCCCGGAACTCCGAACACTCCTAAGAAAAGGATCGATCTTATAATGGGAGGATCCAAATTGTGCCGAGATTCGATCAGATCAATCAAAAGACACAAGAAATCAGCAGCAATTCAAACTGCTGTGGGTTTCCAGTCAAATGAACAAACACCTTCTATCTCTTTCGACAATTAGGACACTCAAGGATTAACATGACCTCATGACGATGCTCTTGTGATAACTTTAGATGTTGCGAACTTCGAAGTAACTAGGTGTCTAATTGATACTGGAAGCTCGGTTGATCTCATATTTCTAAGCACTTTGCAAAGAATGGGAATCAGTAAGGCTGACATTATCGGTCCACCGGCACCATTAGTAGCTTTCACGAGTGACACATCTATGTCCTTGGGGAACATAAAACTACCAGTGCTCGCCGCAGGGGTTCCTAAAATTGTAGAATTTATTGTTTTCGACCGTCCGACCGCTTACAATATAATTCTCGGAACTCCGTGGATTTATCAAATGAGGGCTATACCTTCAACTTATCACCAGTGTGTGAAATTTCCAACTCCTGCAGGAATCGGAACCATTCGTGGAGATCAGGAAACGTCGCGATCTTGCTACCTCATGGGACATCTTTTAAAGCTTAAATAGCAATTAATGATAAACACTAAGCAAGAAATCACTTCGCGTTACCCAAGTGGTCTCAGTTCAAATGAAGTTACCACAGAAATTGGAATTGATTCCGAATTTCCAGATCGAAAAGTAAAAATCGGTACTACTTTAGATTCAGAAATCAAAGATCAGTTGGTAACATTTCTAAAAGAAAACAAACATACTTTTGCCTGGTTGGCGAAAGATATGCCTGGAATCGACAAAAATATCATTACCCATGATTTAAACGTCGATCCCAGCTTTAAAGCAATAAAGCAAAAAAGAAAAAAACTTGGTCCAGACAGAGCTCAAGCAGTCAATGATGAAGTCGATAAGCTTTTGAAAATTGGTTCCATCAGAGAAGTGAGATATCCGGACTGGTTAGCAAACCCCGTGGTAGTCAAAAAGAAAAACGGAAAATGGAGAGTATGTGTCGATTTCACCGACATTAACAAAGCTTGCCCGAAAGATAACTTTCCTCTCCCACATATCGATCGGCTCGTTGAGTCAACAGCCGGAAACGAACTCTTAACTTTTATGGATGCATTCTCTGGATATAATCAGATCATGATGAATCCCGAAGATGAAGAGAAAACATCCTTCATAACAGATAGAGGAATCTATTGTTACAAAGCTATGCCATTTGGTCTAAAAAATGCCGGTGCAACCTACCAACGTTTAGTTAACAAAATGTTTTCAGAACATTTGGGCAAAACGATGGAAGTATATATTGATGATATGCTTGTAAAATCTCTTAAGAAATCCGAGCACATCACACATCTCGAGCAATGTTTCAAAATTCTGAACGACTTCGGAATGAAATTAAATCCCGCTAAATGTTCCTTTGGCGTGCCTTCCGGAGAATTCCTGAGGTACATAGTCACGGAAAGAGGGATAGAAGCTAATCCTAATCAGATTAACGTTTTCCTTACTATGCCTTCGCCAAGAAACATAAAGGAGGTCCAACGATTGACAGGCAGAATTGCTGCATTAAATCGTT